GAGAATGACGAAAGCGTCGCACGAAGAAGAATATCGAAGATGCGAAAAGTAAAACGCTGGCGCGATCGAGAATCGAAGATGGCAAAAGGATACGCCCGGCTAAGGATTCCAGTTAAAAAGGCTTCTTCTGAGAACTCGAGCTACCGTTTTGTACCGGAGCTCCTGTTACTCATGCTTCTCGGTACTCGGCGCTCACGTACACGTGGGCAACGTCTCGTCTCTCCGAATTCGAGGTTAAGCGCGCCGAGAGAAACGAGGGAAGAGAAACTACTCGTCGGATGAGAAGCCGACGCACGCTTAACGAAAATCTTCCATGGTCAACGGGTCACCCACGAACGTTACGCGAAGAGACGTTCAAGGATACGTTCGTCGAGGTGTTCAAATACTTCGACTCTCATACGGGTCCCGTTGCGAACGATTGCCGTCTATAACATCCTATCTAACGTTGGGTTCAAGGTAAAATTCCAGTTTAAACGCGTGATTTTTCGGATTTTTCTTTGTGAAAACCACGAAGTCTTTTGCAACGCGGACTCTCTCACATATTATTACACGTTTCAACTCTTTTAACTCAACTTTTCTCTATTTGTATTTTGTTCGCTTCTCTTTCAGAAATTAATTGTACTAAACTATGGTTGGTTATATGCCGATGGCTGTACTTGTGTAAGAAGAGATAAAATTACAAACATGTACGCCGTTTGAAAAATCTTATTGAGTAAGAAAAAAAAAAATGTAGCTTCATGGTACCCATGATTCCAACGGTTTCTCTCGTCCGAAACAGAAAAACAATTAAAATGTTATTAAAATATACGAGTTTGGCTATCCAGCAGACTGTAACGGCAAAGAAATCTTGAAGATCAAAGAGATAGTACGACTTTGAAAACTAGCTACCGCTTTCTTTTTTTTTTTTACAATTTTGTCAACTTTGAAGTGCTGCAAAAATTGTTTAAATAAATATCTGGACTTGATTGTAGTTCACTGAAAAACAACGCAATGCTCAAGTCGTGGATACCGGTTGGAAAAATCTAGTTTTGAGAAAAATGCGTTTCGCACTTTTTCAAATTCGTACAAAAGGGCTTCGACTTTGTTACTGTTGCTCAAAAAAATTGATTTTTCTTTTACTATCCAGACGAAAATCCCTCTCTAAGGCCATTAATTTGAAAATCAGCTACCGGTTACTTTCTCACGTATCATTTTTCCATAAAAAATCGTAAAGTCAAATTCGATAAGAAAAACTTTTTTAACACTAATTAAAAAATATCGTCTAACGCGAATGGTTAATGCGCGCGATTCAATGAATTTTTCCGAGTACAATCACCTGCGCTTGAAATAATCGAAGTTTCTCGAATGCGGCTATTAATAGTTCGCGTATAATTAGCAAGCAACGTATATATTATGAAAACAGTTAAACGCAGACAATTATATCGTGCGATCGTAGCGTTTAACTCGCGTTTCAATCTAAAAGATGAAATAGTGAAAGTAGTCGGCGTTCGGCGTCAGCGATTTTTCCATAGTTTTCGTACTTTCACTCTGCCCTTCTTTGGATAATTGGGCCACACATCGTCTAAGCGTAAGCAAAAGAACTGACTAGAGAGAGAGAGAGAGAGAGAGAGAGAGAGAGAGAGAGAGAGAGAGAGAGAGAGAGAGAGAGAGA